CCGTCCGCTGCCGCCGCCGTCGCCGCCGTCGCCGCCGCCGCGGGCGTCCAAACCTGTTCGCCGTTCCGCGAACCAGGCCGACGCTTCCAGAAAGCCGCACTCCTCGCTGCCGTCGACGCCGCCGCACCGTCCCCGACGCCACCGCCGCGTCGCTCCGCGCCCGAATCTCCGCTGTTGCCTCCCCCGCCGCCGCCTTTCCCTCCAGCGACTGCTCATCTCTCATAGCGTTGCTTCCATTGTTTGCTCTTTTTCTTCTCCACGAATTGGTTTTCGTTTTCATCGATCTTCTTTACGTTCTCTCCTACTTCCTAACCTAGATTCCCTCCTCCTCCTTGTTCTTCTTTTCTCCTATACCAATCCAATTACAGCTATCTACTTCGCTTCTGCCTCATTCTCTTTCCATTACTCCTTAACCTTCTTGCCATCGATCGTTATTCCCACCCCCTCTCTCTCTTACGCTTCCTCTTTTTCTTCACCTACGTTTTGTCCTCTCACCTCACTTTCTCATCCTCCACCATCATCATAATCATCATCATTCTGCCATTACTTTCTCCCTCGCGTTTGTTTTCTTATCCGCTTCCCATCTTTCCTCTCAATTCGATCCTCCTCCTGCTCCTCTCTCGTGGTGTCCCTTGCCCCCGTTGCCACCTCGGGCGCCACCACCGCCGCCGCCGCCTCCGCCCGCGCCGCTCACGACGTCGCGGCCGCCGCCGCCGCCGCCGTGACGGCCTCGCAGTGGCGCCGCGGCGCCGCCGGGGGGCACTCGAAGGATCCGAGAGAGTCGTTTGCCTCCAAGTCCGCGGCGGCGCCGGGCCCGGCCCCGGCCCGCGGAGCGCCACGCCGCACCGCGCCGAGCCGAGCCGATCGGAAAATATTTCGCGCCGCGGGTATTCCCTGGCCGTCGCATACCCCGCCCGCGCGCCTACGGTTAGTCGAGTGGCGGGCGCCGGTCGGTAACAAGCGTTCTCGCCAGGGTAAGGCTCATTTTACCATTATTTTGTTTTTGTTCGTGTTCTTTTTTTGTTGTTGTTGTTGTTGTTGTTGGCAACTTGCACACCTCTTTGTAGCATGCGTGCAGCGGGAGATGTATTCACTTTTTTTTTCTTTTTTTTTTCCTCCTCGCTTTCGTTATTTCTACGCTGCATCCCGAGAACTATTAATTACGTTTTCGCAGTGCTTCTTATTATTATACAGTAGTGTTTATCGATGGAATTTTTGTAATTGGCTGCAATGTAGGGAAAGCTCGCGAAATTGTGAACGGATTAAACACGCGTGTGTTGAACCAGAAGAAACGGATAGTTAATATCATACTCATAATTGTAGTTTTTTTCTCACTTCTCTTGAAGACTATTTCTAATTTGTTCCATCCGAGAGTTACGTATCAATAACAGTGGAATTTTCTCTAGCGTTACAATGCAATATTTTCCAGTACAACCTATATTTGATCGCAAGGCGATATTTTGCTCATATTGAGGATATGAACACTGTCTTCAATCCTGATTTTATTATATATTTAGAAATTAAGTATACAAAGAAAACGTGACGTCTGATTTTACTGATACAGGTTCCTTTTTGTTAACACCTCTTTTCCATCTGAAATTTGAAAGTTTTTAAATTTCCAGTTCTCATCCAACTTCTCCTTCATTCGTAGTTTAAAATTACTTGTCCGTTTTATTCGCTATTTGATGCTTCCGTGAAGTAGATCCGTATTCCAATTCGCGTTGGGTCTGCCCGTATTCGAATTCACTCTGCCCTTCTTCGGCGTCCGCGGCGCCATCGGCGGAGGCAGAGAGCGGGGTCTGGTCCTTCGCGCCTTCTGAGACACAGCGCCACGCCTTCCCGACGCTACGACCACACGTCCCAAGATATCAGGTTTCCCCGTTCCTCTCTCAAACACGGTGATACGTCACGTCACGTGCTGTCACGTCAATTACCAATGGATTTTTGATTGATTGATAATTCCGAGCGCGTCAACTTCTAAGGTCATTAGTCCCGTAAATGCAGTTCATGTTTTTCCTCGGGAGATGGCGTGATCTTCCACAGCTGGATGGTGAGATCAGGCGCCCACCTACCTGCGGACTAGGAGGGTTTTCCCATAAAAGTTATATCCCACCAGCCACCGCTCTGACCCGCACAAGCTGGAAAGTTCCCGACCGATCTCCCGGCATGTGTGATAGAGCTCTCAGGATTCCGTACGGGGGCTATATTTGAAGAAACCAGTCGACTTGATGATTCCTTATTAAGAACTTATATTTCCGTATAGTTTGAATATATTTTTTTCTTATGCTAATAACTTTACTTAATAACTATACTTTTCTTTTTGAAATATTCCCATGTAAATTATTGTCATCGGATTTTGGGGGAGTGTAAGCTGTATCAGTCATCAATAACACTCAATATTTCCAGACTGCAATATGATAATTTTATTCAAAATTATTAAGATGATGTTGAACCAAAACAGTGCAAGAAATATTTGGACATTTCGTCAAGCTAGGCAGTTCAATGCAATCCAATTGATAATAAGGGTAATTTTCTTAGCATCGATTCGAATTTATTCTAACAATTCTGCCCGGTAAACTTAAAAATATCTCCGTAAATCTAGGTTGTACATGTGGATGCTTTTTTTACACTGTAAGAAATTTTTGTATATCATTGGCCCTTACTTTTAAAGTTTAAAAATAATTTTATCTTTGGCAAACAAAACCGCGATAGGGTGATATAAGCGAAATCGATGCACAAGGTCACGTCTGCTGGTTACGTAACTGGGTATATCGCTTCTAAACTTAACATGTTTCTTCTTGTTCAGTTCCTGCGTTGCGCTATAAATATCAACACATACACACACACACACATACACACATACACACACATACACACACATACACACACATACACACACACATACACACACACATACACACACACATACACACACACACGCACACACACACAGACTCGAGGCTTACTGCGTCAGAACGTACTTCCTTGGTGGTTTCCTTCTACGTAGAAGCGCGCGACCAAAGCCACTAATTGTGCCGTGGGCTTGGAGGGAGAATAAAAGCAGGAGAACGCGGATATTTCGCCGGTGGCTCTCCAGATGTCGCCTTTGTGCGTCAGTGGTTGCAACGTTCCGTGGGGCGTTTCATACGTCACACTCGGTGGGCAGTGCCTTCGGACGAACGTCATAGATCCGCGGGCGCGTGCGTTGGTGGGCGGGTCACTACCTGGTCACGCGCCCCGATCACGATGGCAAGGACACGTCATTCGAGAGCTAACGTTCCGTATTTACACTTTCCCAGGATTCTGACAGCTCATTTGGGAAATGCAAGGAAATGAAACATGTTTCCGTCACATAGTCAATGACTTTTCAAGATACACGAAAATCCGCGGTAACTCACAGTTTGGTACGCACAGTTTCAAAGTGACTCACTTTTTGTTCCTTTCATGTCTTGCGCTGATATCAATCGGAATTTTCGTTAATAGTCTTTATTGGACCTTCTTAAATCCATATAAAGCATTGTCGCTCTCTTTTAAAAGCCATTATCTCTCTTATGTGTCTTTGGTTAAGACAGTAAAACGAGGGAGCGATATTTAACAATGTTGAAAACTAATATTTTAGACGTTCGTACATTTAGGAAACCAGGTATACCTCCTCCAGGCGAATAATTTGATATAGTACTTTTGAAACAATCCTGCCCAACACATCGGGATGGACGTTGAATCTCGAATACGTGTGTCGAGCGTCTTCGTCGTAAAGAACGAACAGAGTCTGGCTTGTATCTGTAACAATGCGCTGTGCGCACAATGTGCCCGCCAGGCGGCGTTGCGGCGCACGTGCGTGGATGCGGTGGCGTGACCGCGCGGTGCGCTCTCTGGCGAGCTGCGTGCGGGGAGCGGGGGCGGGGAGGAGGGAGGCGAGGCACGACGCGGGGCTGTGGTTCGCGGGAGGAGTTTCCCGCCTTAGTCAACGCGCGCGACTTCCACGTAGTGCTCGGTTGGCGGGAAACGGAGGTTGCGGAGTGGGCGGGTGTGGGTGGTGGCGGGAACGGCGGGAATTGAGGTGGGCGAAGAGGGGGACAGGAGTAGCAGGAACGGTGGAGAGTGCTGGGAAATATGGGGAGGGGGTTAATGGGCGGGTTAAGAAATCAGAAGAGGTGGGTTGGTCGAAAGGTGGAGGTACGGCAGCTTGTAGTCGTGATGAACAGGGATTGAGTGTGTAGGCATGGGGTCGGACAGTAAAACGCAAGAAAGTGCTGGCGGGTAGGTAGAGCGTAAGAGGGGGAGGGGAAGGAGGAAGGAGGAGAGGAGGAGGAGGAGGAGGAGGAGGAGGGAGGAGGAGGAGGAGCTGGCGGGGTGGGCGAGCTGGCTGGCGAGCGAGCGAGCGGGCGGGCGGGCGAGCGGGCGGGCGGGCGACCGGGAAGCGGCGAAAACCCGTTAGCGCCGCCCGCCGTCACGTGACCGCTCCCGCGTTACGCGCCCGCGAGTGGAGTGGGGAGAGGGGGAAGCTGGGCGCGGCCGAGAAGCCGGGCCTCGAGCGGCCGGCGGCGGGCCGCCCGGCGCGGTGCGCCTCGGTGTTTCGAGAGATTAGGAAAAGGATACAGAAAGATCGAACTATTCTGTTTCCTCACAGGTGTTCTTCTGTCCTACTCCGAAGGTACTCTCCCATTTTTTTTTTTTTGCAAACATTTTCTTCGTATTTTTGATTTAATATTTTCTTTTCTTTTTCTTCATCATCATCATCATCATCATCATCATCATCATCTTTTTTAAGATAATACATCCACTTTTGCTTCATCTCCGTATTTTCTTTGCATCTCATTATTAAGTTTGATTTCCTTTCCGTGCTTCTTTCTTTTCTTCTTATTTTTTCTCTCCCCCACTTTCACACAGCACGTAATAGGTTGTCGTTCTCTTCGACTGTTTTCTACCGATTTCCACTCGATCTCCCTCACTGACCTTCCACCTCCACATCCTCGCTTCGTTCCGTTCGCCAGCGTTCGCTAGAAGTGGCAGCCATGGGTCGCGCGTTCGAAGCCCGGCGGAGGCGGTGGGCCGGCCGCCATGGCCGCGGCGCGCGCGCGCACGTAGGCGGTGGTGCCGGCGCTGGCACAGACGGCGCGGCGCGGCGCGGCGCGGCGCGGCGCGGTGGTACTTCGCCCGCGCGCCCACGCACGCACTCACTGAGTCACGGCGATAGCGATCGCCTCCAAGGACGGCCATTGTCGTTTGGAAGAGGGCGGCTGTTATCTGGCGCGGGCGTGCGGAACGTGTGGGACAACGCGGGTGGCGTTGCGACCTGCCCCGGAGCACGCGCTGGGATTTGGAAACTGCGCCGGACCGGAGGTGTGGATGTGTGTGTGTGTGAGAGAGAGAGAGAGAGGGGGGGAGAGGGGAAGAGGGAAAGAAGAGAGGGAGAGGGAAAGAAGAGAGGGAGAGGGAAATAAGAGAGGGAGAGGGAAAGAAGAGAGGGAGAGGAAAGAAGAGAGGGAGAGGGAAAGAAGAGAGGGAGAGGGAAAGAAGGGAGGGAGAGGGAAAGAAGGGAGGGAGAGGGAAAGATGAGAGGGAGAGGGAAAGAAGAGAGGGAGAGGGAAAGAAGAGAGGGAGAGGGAAAGAAGAGAGGGAGAGGGAAAGAAGAGAGAGAGGGAAAGAAGAGAGGGAGAGGGAAAGAAGAGAGGGAGAGGGAAAGGAGAGAGGGAGAGGGAAAGGAGAGAGGGAGAGGGAAAGGAGAGAGGGAGAGGGAAAGGAGAGGGAGAGGGAAAGGAGAGGGAGAGGGAAAGAAAGAAAAAGGAGAGGGAGAGGGAAAGAAAGAAAAAGGAGAGAGAGTGAAAGAAAGAAAAAGGAGAGAGAGTGAAAGAGTAAGAGAGAGAGCGCACTACATCACATTCCTTTTTAAATTTGGGGGAAAATACTCAGCATTGTGATACCTCTCCATGGTCATATTGAAAGAAACAACGTATGATTTTTATACGTACTTTTCTCTACTGCCTAACGTGTTGCTGCTATTCCGAAACTATTTTTAACTACTATTAGTGAACGTTAGTATGCTCTATACTTTATTTTCCTGTCGAAATAATTATTATTGATTATAATTGATGATTGGAAGGTTACGTAATTCCTATGTAATACTGCACGAAGTACGTACACATTTTTTCTGAACAATTTAACGAACATTATAAATCTGTGTTAGATATTCGGAGGACAGCTTGAAACATTGAGGGCACTTGGCTCATTGTAGTGTGTCTGTAGACAGCTAGTATTCCTATAGTTTACTAGGGGATTGTCTGTCGAAACACAAGAGCTCGTGGAAGAGCCAGTAGAAGTGGGAGGCAGACAGTCTGGGACTCGTTCACGTGGAAGTCACAAGCCATTGTTTGATTAGTGGCTTATCTCATGCAAATGATACGAATAAAAAATCAAGTTTCAACCGGTTTAATATTTTTTTGTGGGGCGGAATATCTTGGATTGAAACAATGATACTTAAAAGGCTGTGATTTTTTTTGTTTGTTTTGAGATTTGACACGTGTCTACTGTTGAAAGTAACTCTTGATCTCTCTTTCCCGTTTTCTTCAAGCATGTGGGACAATAGTAGAAAATATTTCTTTCAGGAGGTTTAAATTGCAAATAAGTATTATTGACACGACGTCTAAGCTTTATGTTCATGATGAGTATTTTACCATCTGTGACAGACTGTGAAGCTATACAAACAGTACCGGATCGATTATAATTTTTTCGTACAAATCGGAAATATCAGCAAAGAAAAATGACGGATTTAATTGTTCTTAGCAAATTTTAGCTCAGCACCTCTGTTAAACTTGGATCATTTAATCACAATCAGAGTTATCCCGGAAAAAAACATCTCGTTCTAGGATGCACACGTGCTACTTCTTGCAAATCATCCTATCTTCTAGATGAGAAATAGAATGAGGAAGAGAGAAAGGTTGTAGATGAAAAATAGTTTTTAACATTCATCCATTACGATTCAAATACACAATATAATTCATCACATAACATTTCCTGGAAAGCAGAGGAATTGCTATTCAGCAAGTTTTGAAAATGTTTTCTGGAGGATAGTCTTCAGAACTTTTGAGATATCAGAGCATCAGTTGTATTTCTTATGCTATGTTCTGTGTTGAACTTGAACCGCAAAATAATCAAATTTAGATTTTACGGTTCAACTTCCTTTTTAAAATAATTGATTGATTGCTAGTGATTCTAGGCGCGTCAACTTTTAAAGCCATTTGTCCCGCAGGCGTAGTGCATGTATTTTGCTCGGGAGATGGCGGTATTCGTGCCTCGCTGCACGGCGAGATCCGGCGCTGACCTACTGTCGGCTAGCGAGGTTTTCCCCAAGCAGATATCTCCCTTTACCGGGACACCGCCCCATGCCGGGACAAGCTCTAAGTTCCCGACCAGTCTCCCGGCATGTGTGATAGTGTAGTGGATAAATCTCTAAGTGTGTTTAAGGGATGAAGATATGAAAAGGAATGGGGAAGGAAAGATCGTGCGCGGTCCACGGCACGTTTGTTAAGGTATTACACCGGCATTCGCCTAGTACTGATCGGAGAAACCACGAAAAACTTCCATTCAGAGCGGCCGGCCACTAAAATTCTCCTCCAGACAGCGACAGAACTCGACTTACCTATCTGGCTAATATCGAAAAACCCTGCCATCATTGGGACTCGAACACCAGGTCTTCCCAGTCAAAGGCACTGCAGTAAAATAAGTAGATGCCTTGAGGCACCTCTCCCGGCTTTCCTTTTTTAAAACACGACTGCGCGGGGGCGTCTCTGCTTCCCAAAGGACGACGACCGTGATCTTGCGTCTCCTGCTGCGAGTCGAGGCGGCTCACCTCGACCGTGCTGCACACGCACTCACGCACGCACGCGTGCGGGCGGAGATCCAGCGCACGCGCGAGCGCGCTCTCTCGTACGAACGTGTTTGTAAACACGGCCACGCGTGCCCGTGCCGCGCCAGCGCAGTCGCAGTCGCCACCGACGCCGCCGCCGCGAGCAGAGCTGCAGATGCAGTTGCAGTTGCGCTGTGCATCCAAGGCCGCCTGGACGCGGAAGTGCAGCGCGACCTCCGGCCCCAGGGGTGGCCAAGTCGCGCGCGGTGCGGCGCGGCGCCCGGCGCGCCTGCACTTCCGCGTCGAAGCGTGACCGCCGACGCTGCGCCGGGGTTCGAACAGGGGGTCTTCCAAGAGCGAATATCGACGCACCTACTAGTTATTAAGGAGAGCACTGAGTGCCCTTTTCGATAAGCACATCACATTATGAAATGATAGCTATGTCGTCCTTGAGTATAACGGATTTAGAATGCTCTAAAAAATTTGTAAGTTTAATTTCAATTCACAGAAGCAAGTTTTCGAAATTAACTACTTGGCTACACATTCGCTTGATTGCCGATATTCAGGCTTTGATAAACTCCTTACGAGAACGTGTGCTTTTATAAGGTAATAATAACTCATGGGAAAACAACAGAAAAGCAATGTGTAAAACAACTGAGCAACTTTATTTTCAAACAACACAAGGATTGATGTCTATATTACTCTTTTCACAAGGTCCGCATGCGTCTTCGTTCACTCGTGTTTAAAAATATTACACCGCAACTACGTTTCTTTCTGCTTCCCTCAAATCCCCATCCTCGCACTGCCGAGAGGCAGCGAAATATCCGTCCACAAACCCTAAACGAGCAAGCCAACTCCGCCTGAGTGACGAGGCGCCCCCAGTTGCAAACCCTTTGCTCGGCAGTAAATCAGCCCGATGCGTCGGCGGACGGGCCTTTAGGAGGAGGAGACGGGGGGTGGCGCGCACGGGACGACGGCACCATAAAGCACCGCGTGCGCCGGCGTCTGTTTACTCCGCGCAGTGGGCCCAACAGCATAGTTGCTCTCATTTCCAACGAAAGCAGAAAAAGATAATGTGTAAGCCGATGAGAGGGAGAATGGCGAGGAATAGGTAAGGGGAACGGAGAAATATGAAGTAGGGTGCAGGAAGAAGAGATTTAGGAGTGGGAGAAATAAGGAACGTGGAGAAGGACGAAGAAACACAAGAGAAGAAGGCTTAGGAAGAAGACGCGGAGGGACGGGGTGAAGAGGCATAGAAACAGTGAAAAGAGGAAGAAGGGATTCAGGAAACAGAGGAAGAAGAGGTGCGTGAGAAGAGGATGACGATGATGAGGGTGAGGGGGAGTCGTCGAAGAGGCCAAAGAAGAAGCATATTGGAGTAGGAGAGGGAGAAAGTTGATGATAAAGTGGAAACGTTAGGCAGAAGAGGAAGCATTCGTGAAAGTGGAATAAGAAAGAGAACGGGGAAGAAACAAGCAGGCTAGGTTCTTAAGGAGCGTGCGAAGGAAAAAGGGAGAAGTAAGCGATAGATAAACAGTGTTTGAGATCATCAAAGTCCGAAAAATCCTGTCTGTTTTTCGTAATTCCTTCCAAATCGTGGGGCGTCGCTCGCCCGGCTCTGGGCCGGGGGCGTTTGTTTACGCTCGACCGGAGCGAGCCCGATGACTCAAGTGCAGTTAACCCGCTGCGCCGCGCTGCGCGGAGCGGGGCTCGGCCGCAGCTGCCGCGCGCGCCCCCGCGATGACCTCCGCCGCGGGTGGCGCGCGGGGTGGCGGCTGACCCACTTAACGACATTGTCCTCGTTTGCGGGTCATGCGCACCGCGTGGTGAGTGCGCTCGGATTATCATCTTTGAGTTGTTTGCAGGTTTTGCATTGTGGCCGCTTTGTTGTCGTTACTTTCTCGGTGAAAACAAATGGACTAAATTGCGTTAAGGAACTTGTGGTAGCTACAGTTTGTGGAGAAAATGATAAAGTGGTGCGAGATGAGACGTGTACAAACTGACAATGTTATTTTGTGATCACAGTTGGCTGAAACTTTTTTTTCATATTTGAACACTTGATTTATTTTTCTCTTTCTTTTACCATCCATCTGCAACAGTTTTATCCATTAACTCATTTAGAAGGAGGAAAAAAGTGATTGTTCGATTGGAAGAAGTTTAGCTGTAGTATACTCTCGTAATAGTTATGATTTGGGACGCGGCTCCACTGCAACAGAAAATAAACTATTCTTTCGTATTTTAATCGATGTTTGATTGAATCTGAGGCTCCATAATTATGCTGAAATGTGCACTTCTCCTCGATGAATTCATCAGATAATATTATTTTCGTTGAGTTTTATCTACACGAATCGATTTGGATGTAGGAAACCACTTCAAACCGGTACGTCCATGGTGGTAGGTGGTTGAGTGTATCAAACAGGGATTCAGTAGGAAATGGAGCGATTCAGTGCGTTGGGATAAGATACCAGACATCCCTTTTTTGTTCAAATTTATCAGAGTGCACAGAAAACCAATCAAACGTTAAGACTTCCAGACCGCAAACTCGCTAATAGCATCTCTCGCCAGTGCACCGTTGCTAACGATTAATGCTATCCAAACCAAACTATACTTCCATTTATTTACAGATTCTGTTGAAGTTTAATCAGCTGTTACGATGTCATCCAACCGGGAGCTTAAACATCATTTCTGTCTCATCCAAGCTTCCGAATGAATGACACCGTAACAGCCGATTTACGTCAACTGACTCTATGCTGAAATGGAAGTTTAAACTGAAGTTAGCGATTGTGTCCAGTCCTCGCAATTGGCGAGGTGCGCCCCTTGCAGGTGGTGCGCGGTTTGTGGTGTGTGGTCGGGGCTTGGCCACCCCCAGCCGTCGCTTGCGGTTGCGCCATCACCTCCGCGCCTGACATTCGCGCTCGCAGGGCTTCAAGGTCGGGGCACCCGCGTCGCCCCCACCCATC